AAGATTGCAAAGTGAGCAGTGTTATAAGAGGAATCTGATTTTTTTCTGTATTCATTTCAGGCTGTCTCTGTTCTCAGTGAAACGCAGAACTAAGACTATTAACTCAAGCCAAAAATTGTATGCCAACTGGACTTTTGACTATTTATAAATATTTTTACCCATATAAATCATATCTGAGTTAATGAAAAGTAGATATTTCCATAGCAATTTTATTATGAAATATGTCACAAGGTGTATATGTAGTGGGATGAAGGTCTATTGAGATCCAATAGACCTGAGATTGAGTACAAGAGCTATTGCTTACTAGCTCTTTGCATTTCAATTATAGTTGTCCCTTGATCAATGTGTGGTTTGGGGCACTAAGCCACGAACCACTAAGAATCTGAGTGTAACTTTACAGTCAGCCCTCCATATTCATAAGTTCCATATCTGGGAATTCAGCCAACCTAGAGTTGTGTAGTACTGTGGTCCAGTAATCATTAACAAAGATCTGCGTATAACGGAGCTCATGTAGTTCAACCCTGTATTGTTTAGCAGTCAACTGTGCTTTATCCAAAAGTTAGATTCTAGTGATGTCCAGAGATAATACTAGAAAAATGTATAGCATTTGGCATAGACTTTTGATTCTGTTAGGAGAGAAATTATAAGGTGGACATAGCAACAAATTCCAGAATATATTCAATTCACACTTTCCCCCTTTCCCCATACCCCTTAATTCTTTTAAGAACATGCTCCCTCTTCCAGAACAATCCTTTATCAAACCTTTATCAAACAAACCTTTTCAAATCTCAGCATAAGCAATGCCTCTCCTGTGGGTGGAATGCTGCCCTCTTCCTCTTGCCTGGGTTTTCTAACCTTTTATCTCTTCTATCTCTCCTGCCAGAGCTCCAACTCCTCTGCCCACAGGCTAGCTTAATGAAAAGGAATCTTTCCCTTAAAGGACTTTTTAGATAACCATATAATACAGTAGAACAAGCATTAGATACTATGTTAAGGGACCAGGGACCACGAGTAGTGACATTGGGCAAATAAGTTTACTTCTTGGGCTACTCTTCTGTAAAATGAACAGCTGAGTGGCACAGTGTCTAAGTATCCAGTGATACTAACATGTGAGTATTACAGTATTATCAGCAGGGACTGCAGCTATCAGCGTGTAGTTGACAGTTCTACTCATCCATTACAGAATGATGTGGTACAAAGAATATGGGTTTCTGAGTTGATGGAACTGTGTTCAACCATTCTTGTTAGTAACAAACAAACCCAAACTGTGCCCAAAGGCTAGTCTCTACCTTGCACATTAAATGCCCTTCTCTGTAAAAATGTGGTCTATACAAGTGCTTGGGCCTGGTGCACTGGGAAGACCCAGAGGGATTGGGTAGAGAGGGAGGTGGGAGGGGGGATCGGGATGGGGAATACATGTAAATCCATGGCTGATTCATGTCAACGTATGACAAAACCCACTACAATATTGTAAAGTAATTAGCCTCTAACTAATAAAAATAAATGAAAAAAAAGGCCAAAAAAAAAATTGTGGTCTATATTACTTCCCTCACAGAGCTGTCAGGAAGCAATGTTTGTATAGTGCTGGGAAATGGCATATGTTCTCGTTGAGGAGGCCCTTTAATCTAGTGTAAGAGCTTGGTCTGCATGTCCCTCAACACTGTCAGCAGCATGTGACACAGCTGATCACACTGTTCTCCTTGAAACGCTTTATTTGTACTCTCAAAACTGTCTCTCTTTCCTTTCCTCTTACCTCCAAGATCTCTTCATCTTAGTCTCCATTGCTGACTCCTTCTCATCTTCCTGACCCTTAAATCATTTAAGGGCAGAAGTCTGGCTTCTCTATCAACCTTCATAACTAGATCATCTCGTTCAGTGCTATGGTTTTAATGGCGTCTTAAAGCTGATTACTCCAAAACTTCCATCTCCAGCAGAGATCTCTTCTATGAAGTCCAGATTCACATGTGCGGCTTCCCACTTGACATTTCCATTCGGTAGATTAATGGGCACATTAAACTTAACATGTCCCAAATTGAGCTTTTCATCGCCACACCATTCCTTTCTTGGTAAATGGCAGATCTACTTTTCAGTTGCTTAGGCCAAAAAACTTTCAGATTATCCTAATCTTTCCCACATCAGTCTACTAATAAAGTCTCTTGGCTCAGCTCTCATATATATCTAGCATCTGACTGTGTCTTCCCTCCTCATCTACAGCCATTCTAGCCCTAGTAACTGTTGTCTTCCATCGGAGTCATTGTAATAGCCTCCTAACAAATCTCCCTGCTTCCATGTTGCCTCTACTCCTCCTCACAGTCGCCAGAAAGATCACCCTTTTACAGCATAAGCTAGCATGTCACTTATCACAGACTGGATCCCTGGAAGCAGATTGAGGTAGTGTTTAGCATGCAGGACTTTTTAAAGGAGTGCTTTTGGGATCAACATTTGTAGAAGGGAGTGGAAGGATCAGGCTTCAGCAGAAGTCAAGAGGTTATGCAGGCCCAGTGATAGTCTTGGCCAACCACATGTTGGTCTTTCAAGCTGGAATGGCTCTTCAAAGTTGTCTCAAGTTGGGCTAAGAGAGCCAGGTCTTTCTGTTCCCTCGTCAGTCAGTCTTGGTTGTGGTCCGTTCCCTGAAGGCTGCAAGCTGAGGCAAGGCAGCCCTCTGTAGCTGAGGCAGCCCTGAGGGGGTCACTACCAGTCAGCCAGCAGCACTTCCAGACAGCAGGCGCTCACTGCGGGGGGATTTGGGCAGCACAACACGGGTTCCGCCACTCTGTTCTCTCTCGTGGCTCTCCATCTCATTCAGAATCAGATTCAGTGTCTCTGCCATTTCTTTCTGCCCTCCTCTCCTCCTTCAACGCTTCTCTTCAATCCCTCTCTAAAGCCACACTTGCCACCTGGCAATTCCTTAAAACTCCCCAACTCCTACCTCTCAGCACACTCCTGTCTTAGCTGTTGTTCCTTCTACCTGCAGAGCTCTTCAATTAGGTATCTACAGAGCTAGCTCCTGCACTTCATTCAAGTATCGACTCTAATGTCACTTTATCAGAGGAGAATTCTTTCACCAACCTGTAGCAAATAGCACACTGCCCTTTCCCTCTGTTACCTTATTTCACTTAGTTTCTCTTTTTAGCTCTTATTTCATGACCTAACATAGTTACAGTTTATTCATTTATTATCTGCCCATCTGCTCCCTCCATTTGGAAATGAGTTCCATAAAAGAGGGGACTTTGTTTTTATTTATTTGCTATATCCCCAGGGACTACAACAGTGCCTGGCACATTGTAACTGCTCAATAAATATTTGTTAACACAGTTACTTAAGGGGCAGTGCAGTATTCCATAGTAAACAAGAACTAAGGCTTTGGACTGAAACAAACCTAAATCTTACTTGTGGGTCTAAACTTATGATCTGTGAAATGTAGGATATGTTATTTGCAATCTCTGCATTTGAGCTCCCTCAGCTGTAAAATTTAGGTAATTCTAATACAATGGCCTCATAATAAATTTGGGGTGAGGCAAATGGGATAATGTGTGTAAAGTACCTGACATATAACACTTAGAATTTAAAAATTGCTTATAAACACAGGATCTAGCATCTAGTGTGCTCAATAGTTGGTTTTTTAAAATCACTTCATGATAAATACATGGAATAATATGTGGTCAGAGTAGTTTTTGATGAAGACATACTTGTTTAAGTGATGCAAAAAAGTTATTGAGTTTTTCATTTTAGAGTGCCAGGGGTAGCTAGCTTGGGCTAACAGCTCACTCTTGTTAATAGGGAGAAATTTGGTTTAAATCAATCTCAACAACAACAAAAATTTCAATATGTGGTGTTGTGAATAAGTGTTCTTTAAGAGCAACTTTGTCACTTTATACATGATTTATATGCTATGTCTAAGTCCATTCAAAGTTGCATTGTCTTTTAGGTGGGCTAAGAAAAGTTTCTATTTAAAGGAATTGGGATTTCTTGAGAAAAACAAATCATTCTTTTGTAATATTCTATAATATTAGAATATAATATATTCTAATTCTATATGTAATATATAGAATTCTAGTTCTACATTTAATTCAATTATTAGAATATTCTATATTATTAGAACAATGATTCTAATTAAAGAATCATTCTATAATTGATGTTTAGTAAACGTGGATGTTTGCATCACCAATTTCTGAAACTATGTATGAAATGACTGTTGCAATGCTTCTTATAAAGAGTGTATATTTATTGCATGAAGTCTTTTTCAGCAATTTTACTGATAATGAAAATGCAGGCGAGAAGTCGGGGGGGAAATATATTAAGCTCTTGTTTATCTTGTTTATATACAATTAGAAAATTAAAAAGAAAAAAATTACTTTTGCAAATTTTATTTAAATTGTTACTAGCCTACCTAACAGTGTTGTTTTATTTTTTTGAATCGAGTAAATGTTCCTCTTGGCAGTAACAGCAGAAAGAAAAGGTGTGAACACAGAAAGCGAAGTCTAACTTTTAACGTCTGCTGCAGCCCCCCGGATTAGCCTAAAAGCAGGCGAGCAGGCGCGCAGCCTAACTAGAGCAGGAGGGACACCCAGGTCCACAACCACAAGTGCCACCGATCGAACCTGTCCGGAAAACCACTGTTTTTAAGGTGCGAGGAAATACCAGCTCGGCAATTATCTCTTATAGTTCACCAATCGGCGTGAATAAAAAAGATAGCTTTAAGCGGCAACAATAGGAAAGACCTCTGCCGGGATAGCGTTCTTTCCCGCTAACAGGAAGGAGAAACAGCATCCAATCGGCGTCCCTTTCTCAACGGCCAATCAAACTTCCGCTTACATTGAGGCGCTGGTGAAAACGGAGCCGGGCTGTCTCGTCTCCCGGCGAGTGTCAGCTGGAGTTACCTGCCGGCCCGTGTGCCCATGAGGTTGTTTTTGTTACCTGAACACTAAGGGACGCTCAGTTCGGTCCCTCACTGTGCTGGCTGCATTTGCTTGTATTTGTTCCTAGCCACTGCTCAGGTAATGCACTCCCTTAACCAGGAAATTAAGGCATTCTCCCGGAATAATCTCAGGAAGCAGTGCACCAGGGTGACAACGCTCACTGGAAAGAAAATTATAGAAACATGGAAAGATGCCAGAATTCATGTTGTGGAAGAAATAGAGCCAAGCGGCGGGGGAGGTTGTGGTTATGTGCAGGACCTTAGCTTGGACCTGAAAGTTGGTGTTATTAAGCCATGGTTGCTCCTGGGTGAGTATATTTTTGATTTGCCGCTGAATCGCTGAGTTCTTTTAACCATATTACTTCTCATTTTTCTCCCTAGTATATAGTAGTCTGTGCTATCAGCTAAAAGGGCCAGGAAATTGAAATGTTTCCTTTTCTGGATATGGAACTTCACTAGCTGCCTAGGACTGTTTCTGCCACACTATGAACCTAAGAGGCATAGATTCTAGTAGCACGTAGCACCTGGTATTTGAATTTTAGAAAAGCGTTTTTCCTGTTTTTCTAACTTGTCTGGAGGACAACACATTGGTAGTGTATTTTATTGAATTATGAAACGATATAGCCTTAAAAGATTATCAAATTAAAAATAATGCTTTTATTAAGCAAGATTACTAGTGATGAGGGTTTAAGTTGTAGAAAAGTTAATGCTTGAAAAGACAAGTGCTTGTTTGCCTGCCCTGGGGTTGCAACTCTATGGACTGCATGCCTCCTGTGGCCACATCTGTTCTTGGTGTCTGTTTTTGGACTGTTAAGAAGGTGGATTGTTATTTTATAGCTATGAGTCTGATGGTTTATGATTTCCTGTATTATGATAAATACAGATTCCCTGTACAACGCGTAATTCACAAATAGCAAATGAAGCACAGATATGTATGTGCAAACTTGTTAATTCGGCACAAGTGTGATGCAGTGTTCTTAAAAAATAGTCAACAGTGTTTTAAGTAGGTTTGAATAATTTTTCATTTATGAATCGAGAAATTAAGACTTGGAAAAATCAATGATTTTTCAGTATTTATATAGCCAAGCCCCTCTTGTGTAAAAAGAACACTGAATTGGGAGTCAGAAATAGCCAATGAGATGGCTGTGTGATGTGCACACTCCTCTTAAAAGCTCTGTGAAACAGAGATCATCAGCTCCATTTTTCAAATTGGAATTGAACTTAACAATTGGTTAAATAACTTGCGCAGCTCAAGTCTGATAACACTCCTGCTCTCCATCATTAACATATACTGCCTCAGAGTCCAGGCTTTGAGCCTCACTCTTGTTACTCTACTTATAGTAGATGAGCTAGTGCAAGTCATTAATTCTTTCTGGTCCTCCAAGAAACCATCTGTAAAACTGAAGTAAGGGTTTCTGCTTATCTTATAGGGTTGTCCTAAAGTTGTTGCAAAAGTTTTTTGAAACATATCAGTTGCACTATACATTTGAGTTATTTATTGTAGTAGGTATTGTGTGCATTGTTACATGACCTGTCTTTAAATTCACCAAATAAATACGTCCAGTTAGTTTCTGCAGCCCAGTGAAAAATTTAGTGGTCATTTAGTTAGTCTGAAAATTTCACCCAGGATTTGCACACCGTTTCTAGGGAAGGAAATATATCCAGGCACATTTTTTGGTTATTTGGCTTCTATTGTAGTAATAATGGTTTAAAATAATTATGGTAGAATTTAAAAATAGTCATTCACTCTTTCAGAGTCTTCATGAACTTTGCTTATTTTTTAAATCTAGACTTATCCAAAGTGGGCTGATCAAGGTAGTCTTCTAAGACTGGCATTGGAACCTTACCAGGATCTTGAATGAGGGGTGGGAGGGAGTCCTGAAACTAGTCCTTACATGGTCTCTTTGGATCGGGACATGAGATATTTTCATCAGGTACAACCTCCTTTCTTGGGAGAAGGAGACTGTTACAAGAGAGGGAGATGGTTACAAATAACTTATTCTCTGAGAGACCTATGGATGGTTACATTTAAAGTTTTTCCAGGTGAATGATACAGGGGTGTTTCTAGGTTGCTTCAAAAAGCTTTCTTATCTCTTCAACGCAACACAGCTCTCACCTAGTACTACATGAAATTAAATATTACATTGGGTGGTGGATAAAGAAGGTGGAAAGCTGTACAAATATGCTGTATCTTTTTCAGTTTGCTCATAAATTCACCCAGGCTCCTGCATTTCAAAAGTCTTACATAGGCCCTTGAAATACCTAACAGACACATAAAAGATCATAGTTAGTGTTTTTGTCCTTGGTGTTGCAAATTATATTTTTACAACAAATCTCACTAGGACTTTTCTTAAATCCAACTTGATTTGTAAAAGTGGAAAATTCCATTTATCTTCGGTGGTTTTTAAAAGGTACACTTACTTCTTGTTATGTCCATCTTGTTACAAAGTCCCAATTGGTGACATTTTGAGATCTTTGCTTCAATTCTAGGTGAAAATTTGGGAATCCTTTATAAGGTTATAAGGGTTTCCCTGGTGGCTCAGATGGTAAAGAATCTACCTGCCCTGAGAGAGACCTGGTTTGATCCCGGTTCGGGAAGATCTCCTGGAGAAGGAAATAGCAATCCACTCCAGCTTTCTTGGCTGCAATCCTTGGGGTTGCAAAGAGTCAGACACAACTGAGCGACTGACACATCAGGTTATAGAGGATTTCTGATATCTCGGAAACTCAGTATTTTTAGAAGGCAGATAATACATTAAATTTGTAAAGCTCTTTATTTTGTAAAATTCTTTCATGAATATTATTTTACCTTATCATTTTAGAAATTTTTGCTCCTATTTCTATCCATTTATGAACATTCACTCCTACAAATTTCCCCAAAACATTTCTCTTTAGAATATTATTTATTTCCCTTTTCAGTAATGTAATAATATCTTTTTGGTTTGCTTCATTAATAATTTTTTTGGTCTATTTCTGTGATGATAAAAAGAGATTTGTAAATTAAGACATGCTACATCAGAATTTATGCAATATTTGGTATTTTCATTAAAAACAGAAACAGAGTTCTAGAGATCTTACATAGCCTATTTTTTATGATACATATGATTTCAAAACACTGAACGTGTTAGAAGTCCCAACTCCAATAGCATGTAATATGCTTTCTAAATCAGTTACTTCATCTATAATATTTCCATAATAATTTTTGGCCAGGGTCATGAATATTATTGGGTTATGTCAATGTAAAATATAACTGTACATTATTATTATTAAACTTATTTCTTTAGTTGTAGTCCTATTCATCAGCTTCTTTTTCTGTTATTTAAAATTACCATACAGTTAAAATTGATTTGCTATTCAGGTCTATTAAATTTAACACAGTCATAGATTCATGTTGCCACTGTTAAAATCATAAAATTCTTAAAATTGATATTTGTTTTAAAATGTTAATTAAGGTAGTTTATAAAAGGATACATTCTACTTCTTCAAAACAAAGGTTTAAATAACACATTGTTAATGATTTAGAGTATTTCTTTTAATAATAAGTTTTTCCAACAAAAGCTTAATAGAAGACTGCGACGCAAAGCAACCATTTAAAATTGGAGAAAAGCTAATGTTTATATCTAGAATTTAGAGAGAAGTAACATGAACTGAATACTACCAAGTATTAGATGGCACACATAGGACAATTACATAAAGTCCATTTGTACTGACTAAAATTATCCGGCCACACTATTAACACTCTCCTTGTGTTTGAAGAGTCAGTTGCTCTGGTCTCAGGAACACTAAATTTGAATCAGTATATTCATAGCCTGGAAATCATTTTCAAAATGTAGCAACCAACTCTGAAAAATGACTAACTCATTCTGTTTGGGGTGTATATGTATTTAATGGAAATAATGAAAATATCCAGCTTCGAGAAATACAATAATGACAGTTGAGGGTAGAAAAAAAAAGAATTTCATTCATGCAAGTTTCTTTCTTTTTTGTCTTTTTTCTATTGTAAGAAATAGAGTGAAATTATTATTTAAAAGATAGCATGCATATAAAACCATCAAATTTCAGTTAACTTACTTGAACCCATTTCTCCTCCTGGAGATGAATAGGACTTCCTACAGAAAACTGAGAATTTTTATTTTTAAATTATGAGGTATTTCAAATGTGTAAAAAATTACAGACTATAGCAATTACATATCTACCATTAACAAATGTTAATATTTTGATAGGCTAAGTTCTAAGTAGAATAAAGTTGAATGTAGATTTAGTAAGGAGACTGTGAGCTTTGTATTACCAAGAGAATATTGGCCAACGAGCATATTGCTGACCTTCCAGCTACCTAAAATCACATGGTAGAAGCTGGCAGATTTCCCAGACAGTTAAGGTGAAAAAAATGTTTTCTATAGAAATGGAACCTAATTCAGGAAAGTAAAATACTTGAAATCTTTAAATAATAAATGCTCTATTTTTTCAGTTCTGTAACTCACTTTATATTAACTAGTTATTCTCCTGTATAAACTTGCTTATTAGCTAGAGTTATTTTTCAGATGTAGGAGATCTGGAAAGCCAACTTTCACAGGGAGAAACTGGAAAAGGGTACAGCCCTAGTTGTGCATGGAACGTGGGTGGAACTCTGTAGATCAACAATGTTTGCTCTAAGCTATGAGTGTTCCCAGACGAGCTGGCACTAAATCATTTTGTGGGTGTTCTTTTTAATATTCTTTTCTTCAGTTACAAAAGAAATAGATACTTACTATAAAAAGTACATGTGAGCATGAAGAAAAAAGTCACCTATAATCTTACTGTAACATTTTGTTCTATATACTTCCTGCCCATTTTTAAGCATATACATCGTTTTTGTTTTTATAAAAATGATTGATGTTTTGTAACCTGCTTTTATCACCTAATATATTGAAAATATATTTCCATGCAATAAATATTCTTCTGCATTTCTCATTTCAAAGGGCCGTATATATTTTCATGGGATATTCATCAAAAATATTCATCCTGTAAATACTTTTGGACTCTGAAATCCCACTTCTAGGGATTTTTCCTAAAAGTTCTGGATATTGCAAAGATTAGCTGTTAGGATGTTCTTCACAGTATTGTTGGTAATACAAAATAAACCCCACAAAAACAAAACAAACAAAAATCCACCCAAACCCAATGCCCCATCCATGGCCCTAGGCCCATGGCTTCTAGGAAAAATTCCTGGAAGTGGGATTTCAGAGTCCAAAAGTATTTACAGGATGAATATTTTTTGATGAATATTTCTGAATTATCTTTCAAAGAGTTGGATTCAGGTTCTCCCAAGATGTATTTCTTAAAATAAATGAATAACTAACAAAATTGTTACAAAATTCAGATTAAAAGTCAGGATAATTATTTTTATGTTCAAGGTGATGTGATTTATTTCTTATAGGGTCACAAGATGCTGCTCATGATCTGGATACATTGAAAAGACTCAAGGTAAAAAGAAATGCTTCAGGAGTGTTCCAAGTTATTTACTGCAGCACTGTTTATAATAGCAAATTATTGGAAGCAACCCACATTTCCATCAGTAGGGAATTGGTCAAATGAACAATGACAGAATGCTATATAGTTTTTAAAAAACACACACAAAAGTCTTTAAATACTGATATGAAAGGCCATTTTAAAATGGGGCCAAAAATCCCCACAGTGTTGCCTTTCTGTAAGAGAGTAAATAAAATGTTTGATATAAATATTTATCTTATAAGATATAAATATCTTTTTTTAAAGATACCCTAAAAGAATATATGAGAAATGGATAAAGGTAGTTACCATATAGGTGGGCGATAATGGAGTGGAGAAGGGCAGGTTGAAGAGCAAGACCTCTTAATTTTTTAAATGTTTTGATTTTTGAACGACTTCAAAAAATAAAATTTTGATATTGCCTAAATGTGAGGTTTAAGTGAGTTAACCTGTGTGCTTAGCACATACTAAGTACTAAATGAAGGGGCTGTTCGTATTATCCTTATTTTAAAGGGCATCCCAAGGTCAACCATTGAAAGGACCTCTGAAACTGCATTTTGGAAGTATGCTTGAATTACTAGAAAGGTTTTAGGTTAGGTCCCCACTACCATCATTTTGGGTTTCCCTGGTGGCTCAGATGGTAAAGAATCTGCTGCACTGCAGGAGACCTGGGTTTGATCCCTGGGTTGGAAGATCCTGTGGTGGAGGGCATGGCAACCCACTCCAGTATTCTTGCCTGTAGAATTCTATGGACAGTGGAGTCTGGCCGCCTACGGTCCTTGGGGTCACAAAGACTGGGACATGAGTGAGTGACTACCACTTCCAGCACCGCCACCATGACCTGTGACTTAGTACAGTTCTTTTCAAGCAGGATCATTGAATCAATACACATATAAACTGCATTTCCAAGCAGCTAAATTACCTAGACATTGGGTAGTTTAATAGCCCACAATATTTGCAAAGCACTTTTACCTTTCAGCAGGTTTCTCCAAGATTCTCATCTTGTCATCATCATAATCCTGTGATAGATACAGATATATTCTGTCAGTGGTCAGACCTCATTTTTGGTCTTTGGGGGATGTAGAATATAGTTCTAAAGACAGGGCAAACACATCAGTATTATTCAACATTGGAATATCCATCCTGTAATTAAAGGCAGAGTCATCCACCCCTGGCCAGAGGTGCTGTTGGAGTGGGAGGGTAACTTGACATAGCCTGAGAAAACGTCACCAGGGAAGGCAGAAGGACGTATCAGACAGTATCTTCTAAAAATGTTCTTCCCTTCTGTCTAGAATTCTCCCATCTCCCCCTCTCGAGTAGATGAGAGGTTTTTTTCTGTTGTTTTCCTCCACGAGGCAGTTAGGTTTGTAAATAGCTTACGGCCCTCTCTTCATGAGGTCTAGTTCCCTGAATATCTTAATCAATACTCTTGTGGCTGTGGACCACAGAAACCTGAGCAAGGGAAGAGAATGCATACGATGATCTCAGGGCGGGGGGACGAGGGCGGGGGAGCGCTTTGGAACCTGGAGGAGCGCGGCTGTGCCAGAGGATAGAAGGGCACCCGCTGGCACACGGCCCCTCGCTGCACATCTGCTCTTCTCATGTGGAAGCAGGGATCCTTCAGCTTCTCAGAGCACTTAATACAAAGTGGCTGTCCTAAAGCGCTTGAGAGTGTGGATTATTCTAACTGTCTCATCCACCTCTTTCTAAATTTCCTAAATCAGCCTAGCTTAAGTCAGGTGTCCACCAGAAGCCAATTAGCCGTGCTGGGGGAAGGAGCGAGGCGCTGCCAGAGCCACACCTGTGAGGCCAGTGGGGGCGGGAGAGGCAGACTCCGATCCATTTAGCCTTTGGATTCTCTTAACGAACTTCCCACAGGGCTTCTTCCGTTTGCTTGGTGGACTCCAGGAAAGGAGCTTGAATGCGTAGATGGAGGAGGAGGTTGCTCACAATTTGAAAGCAAATCTTCACGACCATCCCCCCTTTCAACCAGACTAATCATTCAGAATTTCTGGGTTTGAGACCCTGTGGCGTTGGTGCTTTTGAAAACCTCCTTGGGTGAGCAGTCACCTTGAAACCAAACCCAGTGCCCTGTGGTGTGACTTGCCGTCCAGGTTCAGAAGCAGCACGAGAATCCAGAACTCAGGGTGGACCTGTTGAACTTCTAAAAAGCTCACTGGGTAGTTCTAGTGTGTAGCCACACTTGAGAACGACTGTACTTACAAAGAATACAAAAGGAAAGTAGGGAAATAAGTATTGAAGGGGAAGTTATTGCTACTAATGCACGTCCCTTACTTTAATTTTTTAATGGACATTAATTGATTTATTCAACAGATGTTTTAAGTACTTTCTGTGCGAAGTTTCCTGCTCACTCACAGTGCTTACTTATAGAAGTGAGTAGGCTAAATATGGTCTCTACCCTGGTGGAGTTTCCAGCACAATGTGGGAGACAAACTCGGTGATAAGGGCTATCGTAGGGCACATAGAGGGTACTATAGGAGTATACGGGCTTCACTGGAGGCTCAGTGTTAAAGAACCTGCCTGCCCAGCAGATGTGGGTTTGATCTCCGGGTTGGGAAGATCCCCTAGAGAAGGAAATGGCAACCCACTCCAGTATTCTTGTATGGTACATCCCATGAACAGAGGAGCCTGGTGGGCTACAGTCCATGGGGGTCACAAAAGAGTCGACATGACATGGCGACCAAATAACAGTAACAACCAATATGAGTGTGTAGAACCAGCACTTCTAGTGAGGGATGAGGCAGGCAGAGAAGGCTCCCTGAAGGAAGTGTTACTCAAGTGTGCATGTGTTCAGTCGTGTCTCACTTTTGTGTGAGTCCTTGGACTGTTGCCCAGCAGACTCCTTTGTCCATGGAATTTTCCAAGCAGAAATACTGGAGAGGGTTGCCATTTCCTCCTCCAGGGGATCCTCCCGACCCAGGGATCGAACCTCCGTCTCTGGCATGTCCTTCATTGCAGGCAGTTTCTTTACCACTGAGCCACTGGGGAAGTCCAAGTGAGTCATGCTTAAATTATGTATTATTGTTACAGATCTCAACATCTCAGTTTAATTAACCTAATTAATTAACCTAAGTGACCTAATTAGGTTTAATTTTATTTAAACCTAATTTTTTAGGTTTAATTAACCTAATTCATGTGAATTTTTAAAAAAATTATCTTTTTTTTCTCTTTAAGGTGACTCATATTCTCAATGTTGCATATGGAGTTGAAAATGCTTTCCTCAATGACTTTATATATAAGAATATTTCTATATTGGATCTGCCTGAGACCGATATCCTATCTTATTTTCCAGAATGTTTTGAATTTATAGAACAGGCAAAAATGAAGGTAAGTTTGGTGTTGATTCACAGTTCCTCAAGAACAGAAATTTTAAAATATTGGTCCATCATCCACTTCTTTCTGTAATGAATAAGAAAGAACTATTATGAAATTTCCCCTTCAACAATATTTCATTAATTCCTATAATTGTTCAGTCCTCCAGTTGTGTGTCTTCCCATGAGGTCCTTACTTTGAACTTTATTCTCTTGCATTTACTCACCGTTACTGCTCTGACTGTGTTGGGCCATGACTGTGGCATCGGGCTCATCTTGCAGCCTGTGGGCGTCCCTGTCGCTGGGGCACTCGGGCTCCAGAGTGGATAGGCTGTGCAGTTGTGTGCAGACTCCAGAGTGCGCATGCTCTGTGTTTTGAGGCACTCAGACTCTCTAGTTGAGGAGCACAGGCTCAATAGTTGTGGCATCTGGGCTCAGTGGCCCCATAGCATGTGGGATGTGTGTTGAAACCAGGGATCGAACCCACATCCCCTGCATTGAAAGGCAGATTCTTAACCACTGGACCACCAGGGAAGTCCCTATTTTTTAACTTTAATTTCTCATCTTCCTGTGCCTTCCTAAGAAATGTTAGGATTTAAAATTTTCTGCTCAACTGGGTTGGCCAAAAAGTTTGTTTGGGTTTTCCCATAACATCTTATAGAAAAATCCCCCCGAATGACCTTTTTGGCCAACCCAATGCTAAGGTTCCTTTTGATCGTCTCTAACCACTTTGCGAGGTAATCAGGTGAACTATGGAACAGAGACTGCTCTGGTCCTTAGTGTATTTATAAAGATGAATATTACTAAGATTGTTTGAAAATGCTGATCAAAAGCTGTCCATTGGTTCTCTGACTTTAGAAGACCCACAGAAAATACAATACTTTAATCTTGGTACTAGATCCAAGGAGACACTCTTGACAGGCAGGGCTTCTAGGTTGGCTTTACCAATTATTATGCCTTGAAATTATATCATTTTTAGTCAATATATAATTCTTACAAAATTTATGTGAGATAAATAGATGGGAATGTAGAAGCACTTATAGAGAAAAGTTAACTGTCATGGAGCACTTGGCAATAAATGATAGTTAACATTATAGCTTAATTCTAATGATTTTCCTTCTACCTTATCTCCTTGCCTCTCTCCTTCCTTTCATTTAGTAATATTTATTGAGTGCCTTATATGCCCAACACTGTTCTAGATCCCTTCCTCTAGATTGCTGGAAAAATATTAAACTATTCAACCTTATTTAATAGTAGATATTTGGATTAAAAAATAAGGAAGAGGTTTTCTAATTCAAAGCCTGATATTGGCCACTCTTTTAGCTTGTGAAAAATTATATAGATTCTAGACTGTCACATGCCAGTGTACCAGCTAATAGTGTTAGAAATAAAAGTGATAATGTTTCTGTGTTAGCTGCTTTTCTAAGGAGATATATAATATGCCTTAGATGGTAATGGAAAAATGTAAACATTATTCATATTTATATTCATATTAGACATATTAGACATGTCATATTAGACATTAAACATATACATGTTTCAAGTAAAAAGTGAAAGGGATAAGAGTTAATTAAAGTGGTCCTTAGTTTGGGTTTCTCAGAAAACAGAACCTGAGGCAAGGATTTAGAGCTGATGCTCCATTTGAGAGGTGCAGTCCCTAGGCAGTGAGAGTGAGAAGAAAGGGAAGTGATTCTGAAAAGGATGAGAAGCAATGTAAAATGATGTTTTTACCTTGCTGAGTGACAGCTTCACAATGAGCTGATAGCGAAATAGCTGGTTCCTTGGCAAGATGGTACCCAAGACATCCCCAGGCAGGGAATCCAAAGACTCTGCACCTCAATACAGATTTGGGAGATAGAGAAGAGAGAGAATTTACTTGCCTGGCTCTCTTCAGCTCCTGTGTCCCATTGGTCAGAGTTTACACGTGGAGAGGTAACTAACCCCACAGTTCCAGGTTACAGCACCCCACTTTCTCAGCAGCCACCCTGAAGCCCTGTGGTGTGACTTGCCATCCAAGTTCGGAAGCAGCAAGAGAACCCAGAGCTCAGGGTGTACCGGCCCGTGCAGAGACTGACATGGGCGAAGAGCCAGGCGTCCTTAGGCAAGCAGAGCTCAACAGGCCTGTGGGAAACAGTCAGCCACAGAGGACGCAGCCGAGGCGGAACCAGCTGAGGGTCCGTGTGATGATGGCATCAAGGGAATCTGAGGAGATGCCTGAAGTGTTTCTGCTGTAAGATACATTCGAATTCTGTAATATGTTCTAATTTCTCAAGCCTTATGTGTTTTACTGGAACCTTAGCCTCAGCCATTATTTCCTTACCCTGGAAACTCTTTATTGTTTAGATAATGCATGTTTAACTTTAGCAATAGAATTCTTGAATTTTCTTCATTCTGTTTTTTTGTTTTTTTTTTTCCCCTAGAAGAAATCTCTTCATGATTTTGCCTGTTGTATATTCAGGTATTATTAAATGTGATTACTCGGTAATTGCCTATTTCAAAACTACCTTCCTAGGCTCTAGTTTGTTGTTTTTGTCTTTTCACATATACCTGCCAAATAGAATGTCTTTGATTTCCCCATGTCTTTCCTCATTCTCCTCTGTGGTTATAAAACCCTGTTTGTTTGGTTTCTCTGTCCTTCTTATATCTCCACCGAATATGTTACCTGCCAGGCTTATGCCCAAAGGGACAGAAATACACATGACCTGGTAGTAGTAAGATAACCGACATAGGTTCAAGAGTTCTTTTACTTGAGTATTTACTTGATCCCCTTTTTTATGTGCAAAAGATTTTGTTTGTTAGTATGAAATGTGTATTTGATAGTCCACATTTACTTTATTAATTTTAAGATGTGATTTTTAAAACATGTAAGTAGTTTATAACATTGGAAAAGTATAAATAAGTAAAAATTAAGATCACCCATTTTCACCAATACATATAACCACTTGTAGTATTTTAATGTATTTTTCGATATATCAAAAGACTCATTTTTAAAAAAAGATTTGAACTTGATCTGTCAAAAAATATGAGTTACTTATTCTGAGAAGATAGAAGGGATGTATCTTTAGGATACATGTATCTAAAGGATGCTGCCTTTAAGGAGCTGGCCATCTAATTGAAAAGCTATTAATAACAACATGAGAACAAAGCAGGCTACATAAAACGGAAATACTATAATTCTTGTCTGCCCATAGCAAAATGGTGATATGAGTTTTTAAGAGAATGTTTTCTCAAAATGCATAGCAAAATTTTTTTGCTTAGCAGACATTTATGGAATACCTACTATGTGCCAAAAATTGCACTAAGTACTAGGCATAAAAAGATATCTTGCACATTCCTCCTGCCCTCCTCTCATGCAGAGAGACAGGCTTCTTAGAAGCCATGGTTAACTGAACCAAGGAGAGGAAAAAGCCTTTTAAGCATAGGACAGTAGCAAATGCAAAAGAAAAATTGCTTTATAAATTATTTAATTGTAATTACTTTGAATTCTTGAAAGGGGATATGAAGCTAGTAGTTTCTTTGGAAATACTTTCAAGGGCAGTATGATACCCAAGGAATAAGAGGTAAATAAATTCAAAGGCTGTAGAAACTAACAGAAAAGTATCTGTTACATAAAGAATGTAAGAGAGAAGAAAATACTAACATTATTAAATAATAGCTAAAACTGATTACACTGTAAGACTAAAAATAAAGCTAGTTTCATTTTCAAAAGCATATGTGTAGATCATAAGATAGCGATAACTGATACATAGTCAGGAAACATTGAAAATTACACTGGAGGGTATCTCTTACTAATGTTATGAGCCCAGGTTTCTTTGGAAAGTCTAATTTGTTTTGCGTTAAGAGAAGTTCATTAATAGTGGGACTTCCCTGGTGATCCAGTGGCTCAGACTCTGAGCTCCCACTGCAGGGGTCCCTAGTTTGATCTCTGGTCAGGGAACTGGAGCCCACGTGCCACAAGAAATGATTAAAGATACTGCCAGCTGCAAATAAGACATGGTCCAGCCAAATAAATAAATAATTATTTTTTAAAAAGAAGTTCCTTAGCAGTGTCCATTGGTTACCGTAATATGATTTTAAAATGTCTTAAGTATTATTAAAAAAGGCCATTGTACAAAGTGAGAAAAGTTCTGTATATGCAGAGTGAATATTTTTGTTTTGGTTTTCTTATGCAGAAACAATTAATATCTGGAAATGACTCTGAAAATATAAATATAAACAATTGAAATTGTCTTTTTGATATGAGAATTTTTAAAATATTAACTAATCTTGTGAATCATCTTTCTTTCTTGAAGTGAGATACACTTGCTACACTTGTTATAGTAGACCAAGGAAAGGAATTTTGCAACAGATTTATGCATCTAAGAACTACCTTGTAAAATAATCTAATAAACCATGAACATAGCATTGTTAATGTATGCTTTGGGCAGAGTTTTCAGTTTTAAGGTTTTTTCTTCCCTTCCCTGTTCCCATGTTGTTTGTACAAAAAGAAAAATCAAGTAATGAAGTAACTGCAATGTCTGGTTCTGTAGGGTGTGCTCACCATTCATTACATTTCATCAAGATCATTAACTTTTAACAGGCCTGAGATAAGCCAACCTGTATCAGTGCTGATCCATCAGATATATCCCATTCATTATTAATGCAATATTACCCCCATCAGCGTCGGTCCTGCACTGTGTCTCTTTTCACTTGTAAAGTATCATTTGCAAGTTACCTGAAACGTTTTGCATTTATTGACCTCATGCTGGTGTCTAATTACCTTTTCCACTTCATGTTGTCGTGAGCTATTTGAGTCAACATTTTACTACCTCATAAGTTTAACTTTTTTTTTAGGTTATTTCCCTCCAGAATAAAACAGATCCAAAAGAAGAACATTTTTTTCCTTACTGATCATTTTATAGATAGATTTCTAAGCCAGTGGTACTAGTTTCTTTATGGGAACAGTACATGTACCTAGTATATAAACTTTCTGTGTAATTTATGATTGTGGTTTTATTTGTATTTCCACATATATTTCCTCTGATTTTTCTCTTATTTATAGGCCTGTGGCTACTGAGTTACTAGGCTTTTATGTGTACTTTACTAGATTACTTCAGGGTAATAAAAGATAATTTCAGAATTCCAAATATAGCATCAAAGCATTTCAAACCTGGGAAGTGGGAAAAGGTGTTGATTAATTGATTGATTTTTTTTTTTTTCCATTCATTCCCTACAGTGCATTGGTTTCTGATGATTGAATAAATTGAATCAAATAAATTGATGAAGTGAATATTTTTATCTTATAGTTTTTAAATAGTATAAGATTTCAGTACAACTTTTCTTAAATAAATAATGAAGATTTTTATTTGATTTTGTTATAGGATGGAGTGGTTCTTGTTCATTGTAATGCAGGAGTTTCCAGGGCTGCTGCAATTGTAATAGGCTTCCTAATGAATTCTGAAGAAATCTCATTTACCAGTGCTTTTTCTTTGGTGAAAAATGCAAGGCCTTCCATATGTCCCAATGCTGGCTTTCTGGAGCAGCTTCGTACATATCAAGGGGGCAAAGAAAGCAATAAATAGGACAAACCACAGGAATTAGAAGAAGCAACAGTTCCTGAGTTACATTCCAGCCAATGATGGACAACTGTAATTTCTGAGTTGGTCTCTAGAGCCACTTTCCCTCCTCTTTTGGAGAGTAAACTAGTAGAAACCTCCTTTTCTCATGCTTTTTTTTTTTCAAGTGGAAATAGAGGTCAATTGATCTTCCTAAACTAGGGTATAAATAAATTTTTAAATTATATCATGTTTTCTTTAGTATTATAATGTGGGATTAAATGCTTCTTTGATTTGCTAAAGGAAAATAACAATGTATTATCAATCATTGATTTCTGTAGAAAGCAAAGGTTTACACATTTCAAATCTTCATTAAAGCATGAAAGATTAAATTAGTTGATTAAAACTTCTGGTAGTTTTCTACGCCAACAACTATTTCCATGAAAGAAAAAACATGAAGTACTATGAAGAAGGCAAATTTCTTTGAAAGGAATTTAAGGTTAAAAAACAATACCTTAAACCTCCCCAAAAAGGTAACCAGAATCTGAAGGTTTACACAATACTTACATAGTAGTTAGATTATTCACAAAATTTTTATGTCCTTTTATGGAAATGCACCCACTTTTCATTTTGCTTTTCAAATTGTATTCCGTGTTTATTTTTAAGCATTTTTGTATAGCTGTGCTCTCGTACATTATTGTGAGCGTATGGTTCTTTAATTAGGTGCTAGTCTCTTACATTGTGTACTTTTTATTCTGGGTTTCCTAGCATTCTGTTTTTGGATTCCATGTCATAATTTTCTGATCTCCTTGAATCTGTAGGAAAGTGTTTCAAACTGAAGAGTCATTTTTAAAATGTGGTCTGTTTCCTAGTTCGGTATTCTACGAGGGAACATATTTTTAAGGAAAGAACACTTATGGTTTTGTAAGAAATTTTGAATACATTTTTAGAAAGCCCAGAATCATTTACAATTTTATTTCTGGCCAGAGGCTTTGAGTGGTTTCTTTTTTTTTTTTTTTATTAAGTCTCCATGTTGGCAAGGCTGAACTCTGTTTGTTATGAATTTGCTTAAAGATATGCTTTGAATTATTCAGAATAAAATGTACTTAAAATTAATTTTAATAATTAAGATAGAATTTAAAGGCTTTCAAGTAGACTTGCATGACTTTGAAAATATCATTGCCCTGTAGATTTTAGTAAGAAAATCCTGAGCTCTTCTTGGATACACATTATAGAGAGAAGCATTTTTCTATAAGTAAGTTGGAAAGTGCACATTGAGCACATCTGTGCATTTGAAAAAGCAGGCTTTCTTATGCTGGCAGGAGCAAAAAGTAGAAGCGATAAATGCAAATTATGTTTTAAGATTGTTTATAGCCTGACAAGATGTCATCATGTGCAAAGCTATGAACTTTCCATCTGTTAAGAAGTAGCATAAGTATAATCAACCTACAGTAAGCTGTCTGAAGCCTAACAAGGCAGACAGAATCCTCTTAAATATGAGACTGGTGTATAATATTGTCTTTATAGTTAATATTGCTGTGGATTTGCTGGGTAAACCTTGTCTGGTCACGTGTAAGTATTTATTTAAATACATTTTCCTTTGTTATTGTTATTTAGTTTTCAGCCATTAAATGCTGTGAACATGAAGCCTTAAATAGAACTTATTCCTTATGGATAGTTTATTTTTGTCTGTAGTTATATGTTGTTGCCTGTAGTGATATGGTTACAGTGCAAACATGTATATTCTGGCACATCTACAGAAGGGCATTGAGCATCAATTTTGTTTTCTCTTAAATGGTACTAGTTTGCTGTATCCAAAATAAATCAGTGAAGGGAATTCAGTGTTTTAAATGAGGGGTATTATGTAAGGCAATGATAGGTTATACATGTAACATGTTTATTTGGCTTCCCATGAGTATGTCACTCTGTCATACCTAGTTATTTACAAAAAGGAGCTTTATTACTATGATCCTCTTTTTCACATATTGTAGAAAAAGTGAAAGTGTTAGTTGCTCAGTCGTGTCCGACTCTTTGTGACCACATGGACTGTAGCCCACTAGGCCCCTCTGCCCATGGAATTCTCCAGGCAAGAATACTGGGGTGGGTAGCCATGTCCTTTCCGGGAGATCTTCCCAACACAGGGATCAGACTTGGGTCTCCTGCGCTGCAGGCAGATTCTTTACCATCTGAGCCACCAGGAAAGCCCTCACATATTATGAACAGATCTCAAATATCCATCTGTTTTGAGGGAGTGACAAAACTATTTCGAGGACTTTGTGCCTCTATTTTAAAACAGATTTCCCTATTTTAGAAAGTCTCCTTCAAAGGTAAATTCTCCAAAGATTCTGGAATGTAGCAAGTATAAATCCTAATATTGTTCTTTTACCTTACACAGTAAACTGGGTGAGTTAACATCTTTACAAACAAACCCACAATACATTAAAAAAAAAACAAAAAACAGAAATGTAGCACAATGAATTATTTGATTTTTCCAGCTGACCCTAAGTAGTTGACTTTTCTGCCCAAAGCCTCCTGAACATATTTAGTTACCTGTAGTTATTTAACACTTTAAAGCAGAAGATTTTAAGGTTTTATATTCATACGTTACATGCAATGGTATTTACAGTGAACACATTTTTAGTTTGTCTTCATTGACATAGTTAAAACAGTTTAAACTTTTCTACTTTAAGTGAAACTTTGACTTACTGTTTTGTACCCATATTTATAATGTGCCCTTTATTTCTGGGTATTGATATACTTTAATAAAAATAATAAATTTACTATTTCTTCCATTAGTATCTTTACTTCTTTGAGGTTATTTGTTTTAAAAGACTTATTTGCCATCAAATTCTGGATTTAAAAAATCTCGTTGGCAAAACACTGAGTTATATGTTTTAGAATATAAATTAGTTTAAAGGTCTGTGGAAATTTGATGCTCCAGCCACCTCAAGAAGTGAAAAGCTAAAGTCAGTTCTTGTAATTGGCATTACTGTGGATAAATTGGCAGTGAAAATTCAATAGCGTATCCTAGTACTTTAAGTCAAGAGACGATGCTAAATTACTCTCAGATTAAGCTGAGATTTACATTCTTAGTAAAACCTTCTCTGACCACCTATTTCAAGCTGCTTCCATCCTTAACACTTATATCTACCTTTCCCTGTTTTATTTACTGCATATCCCTAATTGTCACCAAAATTGTATATATTTTTATTTATTTTGTTGCTTTTCCCATCAAAACTTGGGCTCCCCGTGAGGGCAGAGATTTTTACTGTGTTGTTTATCTGTACCATTGTGTACCCCATAACAGGCACTCAGACATTTCTTGTTAGAAAGAAGAGAGGGAGGGGGGAAGGAAGGAAAAGGATTGATGCATGTTGTTGTGCCAGCTTCACAGTACCCACTGCAGGTCATCATTCATGGCAGGTGAGCTGCAAGTTACATCTGCAGCTGTGTCAGACAGTGCTTGAGAGCGACAGCGGGGAACACAAGTAACAGGTCTGAAACAGGACCGCATAGCACCCTACACAACAGAAAGCATGAGTGTCCTTTTTAATTTCTGAACAATTTACTTTCTCCTTTTTGGCCATGCCCACAGCTTACAGGATCTTAGTTCCCTGATCAGGGATTGAACCCGCGCCCCCTGCAGTAGAAGACTGGAGTCCTGACCACTGGACCACCAGGAAATTCCCTCAATAATTTTCTACCAAAGTTATTTAGAAATTAAACAGTTGATCAAACATCCAGCAAGAGTATCCAGGATATGGTATTTTGCTTTCACACAAGATATGAAAGAATAATGGCTTATGTGCCAGTTATCCATTTATTGTCTCAACTCCAAATCCACTCATAATTGTGTCTATAAAAAGGAAGATGGGCAATTTACATACCTTTCTCTTGACAGCGGCTGTGCTGTTGAGCTTTGTCAGTAGAAGGTGCTGTGTGTGGGAGAGCCCTTTCAGGAGGAAGGGTCATTTCTACTGGGCTTGGTGTGCTTTCAAGGCAGGCTGCTGCAGTTCAGATAGACTCCAACAGTGCCCACAGCTTCTCCACCACCTAGTTAGTCCTGGGAGCCAGGCTTCTTCAGCACCCTGCGGCAGCAGCTTTCCCGGGGAATTCCCTGGGGTGGTTTTATAGCACGGCTTCCCTTGTGGCTCAGCTGGTAAAGAGTGCGCCTGCAATGTGGGAGACCTGGGTTCGATCCCTGGGTTGGGAAGATCCCCTGGAGAAGGGAAAGGCTACCCACTCCAGTATTCTGGCCTGGAGAGTTCCATGGACTATGTAGTCCATGGGGTTGCAAAGGGTCAGACACGACTGAGTGACGTGGAATACCTCCCTTTCGACAGCTTTGCCTGGCATCCTAGAGGGTGCATTTCCAGAAAGTTCTTCCATATCTCTGCCATTCTGTGAGCCATGGCTTCACTCTGCAACAAGATCCAGGTTTCAACCCTGGGAGACTTTTTCCTTAAACACTTCCCCAGTGGTGGTGACTGTTCTTTATATCCGCTCTTCCTATGCTGTTGTTTAGAGCACTTTCCTTCTTCCTTTCTAACCAATCCCTCATTACTCAAATCCTATTATAGTTAATAAACTTTTATGTTAAACTTTCCCACTCTTGTTGTGTGGTTTATCTCCAGATGGACCTAGGCTGTCTAGCCTATAATTTACAGTCAATTATTTTAATAATTGTCCTTGTGGAGTGTTTCTGGTAGCAGGTCAAGCTATGTTATAACCATGCACCTTATGATAATAGAGGCTCAAATGGCAATTAATGTTGTAGGACTATTTTTTGAGAGAGTAATTCTATGAATATTAACAGTGTCCTGTTTAAGGGTATAAACACAATGACCTGATTTTGCTAGTGCTTCTTGTCTACAGAGTGGTGAATTCTTCAAAGTTAAAAAAAAATGAAAGCACATATAGTGGAATTTGCTATTGCTCTTATGTTTTCACCCACTCTTCCCATTTGTATATAATATCAGGAGGAGAGGAAATTGCTTTCAGTGCTTGAACTGAATTCTCACTGCCCT